ACAGCCTTATCTTCCTCCTTTTGATTTTTCCTGTTTTGTAAGCGTGGAAGCAGTAGGAGAGGGATCGGGAAACTCAGAAAGCGCTTCGGGAATTAATCTGCCATCGTTTACTAATAATAATAATAATAATAATAATAAAAGATTTATACCGCGCCAGTATCCTACTGTTCAAAGGCGCCTACAAAAAAAAAACTTGAACACTTAAGACAGCTAATATTAATTATAAATAATAATAATAATAATAATAATAATAATAATAATAAAAGATTTATACCACGCCAGTATCCTACTGTTCAACGGCGCCAACAAAAAAGCTTAAACATTAACACTTAAGACAGCTAATATTAATTATAAAAGGCTTTTCTAAAGAGTAAAGTTTTTAATCTACGTTTAAAAACAGAAACAGACTGAGCATTTCTAATTTCACTTGGCAAAGCATTCCATAATGATGGTGCTGCTACAGAGAAGGATCTTGCGCCATATGTTTTCAAGTTATAGGATGGAGAAACCAGAAGGTGCTGATAAGTAAGTAAGATTTGTGAAGTTCGTTGAAGTATGAAGTCTAAATAAATGCCTTTTTAAAGCTTGTTTGCTGGATTTTTCGTAAACTTTCCTGACTAATTTTTCGTTTCAGCTTACTAGCCTATACTATTTCAAAGCAATGTCAAGACGAAGACAGAGAACCATGAGTCGGTCCTTTCAACAATCGTAAACAAAGTGTTTGAGCAATCAGGTATACGAGGTGTAATAATCAATAACTGCATATCAGAAGTCTTCAGAAAGAAAGTATTCTGCCTTCAGAAAGCTGTCAAGAAAGCTAATAATCGTGGCGGAAGGCAATTAAACGGGCCCTCGGTATCGATTTAATATCATATCGATCTCAATATCATACAGTTTTGTATATTTCTTCCGTGGATTCGCCTTTCTAACGAGGGTGTATGTTGAGAATTCATTGCAAAATCGCTTTGTGTTTTTTAATTTCCCTCTTTGACCTGTCCGCCATTTTGAAAATTCGTAACGGAGAGCATGTGCATTACGTGGGGTTAGTGGTTGCGTACACCTGGAACCGAGAAAAACAAATGTTCGTCGCACTGGGGAAAGAGTTTGATATGTTTAAATAAGTGGCCCAATTTTCCTGAGCAACTTGGTAAGTAATTACTTCCCAATCAATTCCCAACGATGTTAATTGTTAATTGATGCTTGAATATCAAAAAGTGGCATTCTACTAAAAGAAAAAGTCACACATTGGTGGAAAACCCAGTCGAATGAAGAGGTGAGAAGTGGCTGGGTTGAAACAAAGTATACTAATTTTGCAGTTATCTGTGTGAAGTAAATACCGCGGCACTCTCGTTGAAAGATCGAGTGTGTAGCTCGCCAGTATGACTAATAAGGGCAACATTACAAGATAAGTAAAGAATTTGGCCACAAAAATGAGGAAAGAGAAGAACATGTTAAACAAAAAAAGCATAAGTTCAGAGTCATGCGGTGTAATTTACTAAAGTATTGATATACATATCACTACAAGAAATTAAAACGAGCCACGAATTGTGAGGCAATGTCGTTTTAACGCGCGCTTGTTCAGATGCGACACAGCTTGTGGCCACATGCATCGAGACTCGTTTATTCATTCAGATTCTAGGCACTTACAAGCATAATTGTAAATATAAAATGGAGTAAGGCTGCGATCTACAGGCAAAAATACCTCTTCAGGATGACGCAGAGTGGACACGAAGTCAAACAAGCGTTTTGTAAAGTTACATGTGGCTAGTTAGTTTTTTCTTGCCATATATTTATCCTTCTGTTTCGTTCTGTTTTGTCTTGCTTTTGTTTGTTCGTTTTCGTTTTAGCCCGGCTGCTTAATTCGATTAATTTTAGCCCAAAGCCCCATCCAGACGCATGCAAACCACACTAAAGAAAATTTGAACTCGAAGTCTTATCTCTACTATTACGCTTACATTAGAACGGAGAAATGGTTCACTGGAAACTTGATATATTAGATCGCAGGGTTTCTTTTGTTGCGGCCGGCGAACATTTTGACAACAAAGCCCCATTTTATTCGTTCTGCCAACATTCGAAACTAATCCGGACGAATGCTATTTTTTCCAATTCCCTGTGACATTAAAAAAAAATTATTTTCGGTGGTAAGTTTCTAAAGAAACTGTGATGCTGCGTCGGTGGGAGTGTATAACAGGATAATTTAGTATTAGAGTTTTGAAGCTGACGTTTCGAGCCTCAGCCCTTCGTCAGAGTGAATGACGAAGGGCTAGAGACGTCAGCTTCAAAACTCTTTACGGTGGCCAAGTTACGTTATCAACTCAGTTGATAATACTAAATTACCCTCTAAAGCATTTAACCACCTTGTTCGTGCCTTAACGCAAACGACACTCTATGACACCAGTTTTTAGAGAAACAAAGAAGAACTCTATCCAGTAGGACTGGCTTGATTCAGCTTTTAAAAAACTCTGATTTGAATGCACGCTCCACGTACACGTGGTTATTTCATGGTGTAATTATGACAATACAATCAGGCTTTTGTAACAGAAATATTTCAGTTATTTGTCCACAATTCAATATCTTTGCTCATTTTCTTTTTCCTTTTATTTCAGCCCTTAAGGAAGTAAAGAAGATGGTTAATTGTTTAAAGATTTCATCGGTTTCGCCACCTTTTTGTGAGATTTTTTTTGAAGAGGGATGAAAGAGTATGCTAAGTTTACCGCCATTTCTAACTCTCTGGATACTCATGGAGTTTGCTGGCTCTTCGGACGAGAATATTTTAATAATCAAAGTGCCAACAAAACGCGAAAAAAGGCCGAGAACTTGAGATGGGATTTGAATCACTAACGATCAAGATGTGCACATGAGACTACAAACCTTTAAGGTTAGTCTTAAGATGTTGATGTCTTACTTCTATGAATCACGAAGTTGTATCTGGCGACGGTCGTGAGACATTCGTTACGATGATAGAAGGTAGTCTAGAATTTGATCTTATTTTACTTCAACTTTGAAGTAAAATTGCGTTAAGTTCGAGATGGCACCCAAGCTTCAAATCACGTCAAGTAATATTGTATTTTATCTCTCTTTTGTAGTCACATAGGACATAAGGCTTTAAAAAATGTTCCAGCTTCAGGATTGAGTTGCTCTTACGACAATCTTCGGCGAATTCTTTTTTCGGAGGTTGAGGTGGATTTTCCAAGTCATAGCTCACAACTATCTTTGGCCTTTTTGCTCTCCAAGCTTGTTGTACATAGTATGTAGGCATTTGTCTTCACAACGGTTATAGTCTTGCCTCAATCATCTCCGGTTTATCTGATATTTTGCTGTGTTTTAGTGGGAATTTTTCCACTTGCTTTTTTGGGCTTGAAGTGCTAACTAGGGGATAAACTTCGGTAGGACTTCGTTATCACATGGGCCTCAAATCCCTCACCGCGGTCAGTTCATTGTTCGACAATAAAGTTTATTTTTTTACTTTCGTTCTAACCAGTTCACTTACCTCAAAAAAATGCGTGGGCTTTGTCCCACGAGTTAACTGGTACCGTTTCCTTCATATTCACGTGTTATTCGAAGTGAATGCCGTCAGCTTCATTCTGTCTTGTTTATTTCAGTAGAATACCTCTGTCATGCAAATTGAATTTTGAGTCGAAGTCTACTTTGAAACTCGCCGCTTTCGCCCCCTATCGAGTTCGCCCCTACCTTATACCGTGTTCGCCCCCACACTTTTCAACCCCTGCAAGTCGAGTTCGCCCCTAGATTTAATAAAGTCCAGATTAGTTGATTTGTGTGCGACGCAAATCGCGGTAAAATTCCGCACAGCTCCACACTATTGTAAAACAAATCTGTTTTCCCTGTGGAAACATATTGTTTTTTTCGTTGTTTTCTCTATCCAAGAACTTAATGCATAATGTAGTATGGGGCTGTGCGGAAATTTTTACCCAAATCGCTCAAGAACGTGCTGAAAGTCAAGTCAACGAGGATAATTTTGAATTTCAGCAATTGAGTGGAATCTGCGTGGGATCTGGGTTGGCGTAATCAACTAAATACTCTGAGTGGGATCGTGAAACAAACGAAATTGCTTTATTTATTATTCGGACTCGAAATATGCGAAACAACCTCGGTTAATCTAACGAACACGAACTGTGTTGTAGTGATCACACGAGATATGATCACCCGAAATGTGATCATGGCAACCAGGCTTGAAAAGATGCAAACCGCGCTATCATCAAATTATGCGCCCTCTCGCTGTAGTTGGCCTCATAATCTGATTGTTGTATTTTATGTTCTCCATAGGGTAAAGTCTGTAGAGCTAATGTAGTTGAGAAGGGGCCAGCTGAACTTGTCTTAGGCCCCACACTACACAATCATTAGGGGCAAGTGGGCGCAGGCTAAGCAGCCCGGATTACTGTAAAGACGAAAAAGGAGGCCGTCACAAATTTGTTTAAGCCGGCGTCTGCAATCGTTAACGAGGTACCAATCGAGGAGCTGACAGATGATCCTTGCCCCAGTTTTCCAAAGCCAGTAAACCTGGCCAAAGCAGCCAACCACCTTCGGCAGCGATTGAGACTAGCAAATCCTGTAGACCTCGAGTTTGAATTGCAACTCAAGCACATCCCTGAGAACTCTTTCCGTGGAGATATTAAGGTTAGTATTCTACAGTCAATGTGCATGGCACTTTTAAGTGAAGTTAAAAAGTTCATGCAACTACTTCATTTGTATTTTCACTATCAAGTGTTATAGTTACATGCGTTTATTGTACTATTTATCGTATATTTTGTTTAATTTTTACAGGTACGTGGGCGTCGTCACCTTATCTTCGCCAGCAACAGGTAGAGGTGTTGTGCAGCGCCAAGGCTTGGTATATCGACGGTACTTTCAAACTTTGTCGAAGCCCCTTTAGCCAGCTACTAACCATCAACGCGTTCGTTCGAAGTGATTCCTGTGCGAAGCAGGTTCCGCTCCTGTCTGCGATCATATCGGGAAGAAAGAAAAGTGACTATAAAGCCCTGATGAGGGCCGTATTCGAGTTGCTGCCATGAACACCATCCGTGATGCGAATCACGCCTGATTACGAAAGAGTAGTGTGGAGTGTCCTCCGAAAACTCATGCCGGCAGTGACGATCTAGGGCTGTCGCTTTCATTGGACACAAGCCCTATGGAGAAAGGTATGTAAAATTAAATGTTCAATGTAATTGATGTTATGTCTGTCAGTAGTCAGACAGTAGACGAAAGTACATTTGACCATTTACATAGCTCTAGATATCGAAATGTTAAGTCTGTTTACTACGATTAAAGCTCAAAATCTGAAAAAATGAACTGAACTATAATCTTGTCACAAACGAAGGAATTCTCGTCTCTGACGATTATTTTTACAATTCGTAAGTCTCTTTATTGAATACCTGATTTTTGTTTTGTTTCAGGTTCAAGAACTTGGCCTACAATTGTCATACCATCACGTCCAGGAACTTACTAATTGCTTCGCAAGTTCATGTCTCTACCATTCCTTTCCGCCGGCGCCATTTTAGAAGCTTTCTTCAAGCTGAAAAGAAAGGCCAACACAGACTAGCTGAAAGCCTTTGCCAACTATGTAGAACAGAAGCGGATCGTCGCCAACACCTGGCCGCCGTCCTGTTGGAGTTTTTACCTAAGAGCCATCCGGACAAACAACGACGTGGAAGGATGGAACAACGGGCTCAACAGACGGGCGCAGGTAGGCTAACTATTTGCTTGTCATTACGCTACGGTGTCGCCTTTCGTCCGCGTGCCTGTGTCGCTAGATTAGCTGCCGTTAATCCTTCACTCGTTGTAATTCGGCGGACGCGATGGCCGCCGGACTGCATTAACGGTGTCGATTTTAGTTTTCGTTAGGTTATTGCCTCAGTGCCAGTGAGTAGTTTCTCGGTTTTGTCGCACATCAATTTCTCCTTTCGAGTTCGTGTTTTATTGCTATATTTTTATATATATTCTCCTCTTTTTCACCTCAGGTAAAAAGTCAATTTCCCCTGTATATGCTGATCCAGCTGCCTCACGAATAGACCCGCCTGACCACCCTTCAAATCCGAATGGTTTCGGAGCATAAACTGTCCAGACTCCAGCGACGAACGTGCCGGCAGCTGCAAGATATTTAGCCTGTGGGATCAGTACGAGAACGGTGATCGGACGGCGAAGCAGTTGCTGCGAACCTGCTTTGAACTCTACAGACTGCGCGATGATTAACAACCCAATTATGGGCCCGATCAAATACAATAAAAGGCTCCTTTTGGAGCCACCAAATCTTTAAAAGTCACAATCAACGAAAGTTAAGTATTTCACTCTTTGAAACATAACTGCTATCATAGTCGTTTGCGGTTAATTTATTTGTCGTTTCTGGTCGCCCCAGTTCCCACGCCCATATTAACTTTCAAAATGGCCGTCGGTCAATTAACACTCAACACTTGTCTTGGTTCTAACTTGTTTGTAGTTTTCGACAAAAAGCAACTCATTTAGACATTACTCAATCTGGGGGCAAACTAGACTTGGTGGGGTCAAATTCGAAAAGTGTGGGGACGAACACGGTATGAAGTAGGGGCGACCTCGATAGGAGGCGAACGCGGTGCTATATGCCACTTCCGAGTTCTCGCCTTTCACTGATCTGTACCGAAATAACGAGGACGAGGCTGAGTGCGAAGGCGCTTTCATCGGTATAAAGACCAAAGTGCAGTGGTAGAGAAAACGAGCGAAAATTTCTCTAATTTTAAAGTAAGGAATAATGAAGCAATGAAGCAGATCAAAATTGCCTCTTCTGCCGAAGACCGCAAAAGGCAAACTGTTGGAGGAGAAATTACAAACAAGTGAGGGCAACAGCACTGAATCGTAGCGAGGGCTTACTGTAGTTTGCAAAACGAAATTGAAATCTGTAGATTGTTAAATGAACTCAAACTCTGTAATTTTCGAAATGGAAAATGTGTAGATCTGTAATTTACACCAATAGAATTGCAGAAAACTTAAGGTCACCAACGGCAAGGATGAATTGGTTAGTTCACTACCAGCGTGATTACACACATAACCTTGCAAATAATGACAACTTGAGAAAGAACGAAATCATTGCGTAACAGGCAAGATCAATATGGTAATAGGACGGAATGGGGTCCAATTTTGCCAGTAATAATACGAGTGATTAACAAAATCGGACCACCGCGAAGCCGGAGTCCGATTTGTCAATCACGAGTATGATTACAGACAGAATTGAACGACACAAAGTCCTGTTACCACTTAATCATAATTATTACAATTTCCGAAAACAAAAAATGCATTTAGGACAAATATGTGCAGTAGAGACAATGTGTAAGTAAAAAATTCCTCAACTTTGCAAATTCCACTTTTTTTTTTTAAGAATGATGTTCTGATTATTGTAATCAATTCTGTGATTGGTGAATTTACTGAAAGGACCAAGTATGATTGGCTGCCTCGACTGTCCGATTACAACTCCACAGAATGATTAGCGAAAAATAAAGCAGCCAATGCACCAATCACATTTGAGGAAATTGTAATGGTTATGATCAAGCGCGGCGTCCCATGGTTTCGACGCATGCCTCAATATTAACCCCCTACGTTGCAGACTTTTCCACCATGACCACATATCCCTGATTCTCTTTGAGTGAGAAATCGCTTCTGAAGCAACTCAGTGTTGAAATAAGCTTGCGAAATAGAGAACTAGACTACGAGCAGTACCTCCTTTTCGGCGAAGTCACACGACATTAGAAAACAGACTGCTCTGGGTGCGCGTTTTCTGAATGAGCGACAGGCTGCAATGTACCGCAGGGGCCTTTTTCCCACCTTTCTAAAAGAAAGCTCTTGCAATTTGGAAACAAAGGCATAGAGCAAAAGTATGGATAAACAACACTAATTACCAATTCCATGGGCTTGGTTGAACGTTCACATTAGGGGCTAAACACTTGCTTGGGGCCTTTCCACACCAGGGACAAAATTGTTTATTAAGACAAATGTCCTGTCATCACCAACATTTTATAAGTGCGGATGGTTTGTTGCCACTTAACAAATTTTGGCCGAAGTAGGCAAATCTTTAAACGCACCGCCGACAAAATTTGCTCGGGGTAAAAATTTGGCAAAATCGACTAAATAAACAAAACCGTGGTACGCTTTTCAATCAGTTATCGTGTTAGATACGACAAGCAAGTAATTGAACTGAAATCAGTTTATTAGAAAGGCAAAAATTGTCTTTTGCTGCAAAACTCGGGGATTGTAAATTTTAAAACGACAAAGGATAAGTCCTGGAAATTGGAGGTTGAATCTTTTGGCAACTAGGCTGGCCTGTCTTATGAACAGATCAATTACTGACGGAATTTTACGGCTTTGAATTTTTAGGGCGGATGCAAAAGACAAAACAAAAATTTGTCATGATGAAATTTGTCCTTTGATTTTGTCAGGACGATTTTATTAGTAGTTTTGTTCGCTTGCGCGGAGAGGCTCTTGCTGAAGGTCAGCAATGACTTTACCCCGCCCGCGGTATGTAAGCACTTTTTTAATTTGTTATTATTATTTATTTTTCTCTCTTGCTTTACGCCAGTTCTCCTTCTTATTCAATTCTTTTGGGGTATTTGGACTAAAATTATCTGCATAGAGATGCTTCTCTTCCAACGCAAACAATAAAAGTTTAATTTGAAGTACCCGCCCGAGTCAGCCTCTTTTGCAGGGCGACAGCTGATTGGCTGACAGTTCAACAAGCTGCTACCCTTCGGACATTCTCATGCAAGCAATCGTAATGAATAGTTGAATGAATAAAGGCAAAGTTTCGCAAGAAACTGTGGTGCTGCGTCGGTGGGAGAGTGTAACAGGGCAATCAAGTATTATCAACTTAGTTGATAACGTAACTTGGCCACTGTAAAGAGTTAAAAGGCCGACGTTTCGAGCGTCAGCCCTTCGCCAGAGCGATTTTAAAGTTAGTCGAGTCTCTGCCACGTTGAAGGTAAGGTTTTGTGCATAGGCTGTTCTTTTGAACATATTTATGTATTCTCAGAGGTCCTAGCTCCAAAAAGCCCATTTTCCTCTTCCAGGTCTGACCGGAATGCGAGAGACACTACATGATCATTCATTCCGAGAGCAAATTTGAACAAGGGGTTGGCATGCCGCGGTATTCCACGGCGTTGGTTACCTTTGTACCCAAGCGCAAGAGCAGGACAACCACTAGGTGAGTCTTCCGCTAATACTTAACAGGAGCTCGTATTTTCAGCCGAAACTGCTTGGTGTTGTTTCCAGAGTGATGGTTTCTAGAGTTCAAGATGAAATATTCGTTTGAAGTTTTCGTCGATTCGCAGTTCTGATATTTCGATTCCCTAGTAATCTTGTTCCTTTTCTGGTTTTTATCAATCTGAGTTGTTATCAATTTGCAACACAAGGTGAAATTATTAATTCACCCCCTGTTTGCGAAAAAAATGGCTATTTACTTCCCTGGTTCTGCAACACATAATCGGATTTTGTAAATTTAGCTTTCTAAATCTTGGGCCAAGTCTTACTTATGTAATAACTTAAGAATGAAAACAAATCAGTTAAAGCTTCATTCAACAAAAGTGATAGCTTCTTTTTTAGTTAATGAAAGAAATGGGACAGCCAGGATTTTTCCACTAGCAAATGCTTAAGTGAACAAAATTGAACAACAGTTTACCACAGACAGTGAAGTCTAGTAATACATCATGTCAAAAGCAGTAAACATTGGTATGAATTAATAAACAGTTGCTTAGGCCATGTCTTTCAAGGGTAATATCTCAATTGCTGCAATTTTTTAGGCAACATGAATGAGTTAACATTGATATGAAGTTAAAAAAACAATGTCCTTAGCCACGTCTTTCAAGATCAATCTTCCAGTTCATGCCATTTCTTGACAACACGAGTGACTTGACTCTGTAACAAATTGTGTCAATAGCCATGTCTTTCGAGGTAAATCTTTTAGTTCATGCATTTTCTTGACAATTTGAATGGGTTAACATTGTTACAAACAGTGTCCTTAGCAATGTCTTTCTAGATAAATCTTCCTGTTCCTGAACTTTCTTGATAGCCTGAACGTCACTTGATGTTAACAATGTGCAGTTGGCTTCCTCAGATATTTTGATCTAGCCCTCAGTGTTGAGTGCATTTGCAGTAGCTTGCACCTAGGTAGGTTTACCCTTGCCTCTCTGCAAGCTAAGGCTGAAAATCCTTTCCAATTTATGGAGCTCACCCATTTTCACATCCTTTATCAATGACTTCTCCAGGACCATCATTACTATCAAATCAGCTGTGCTCTGGGTCATGTCTTCAAGAAAAACTGAAAAGAAAACAAAAGGATTAATTGTTAAACTCGTATGAAGCTGAAATATTGTTGAATTACAGAATTAAAATATATAATGATAATAAAAGCTCACCCCCAAAAATGTATTTATTTTTATCATAGGCCTACTAAGAATTAGCAAAAATTAGTGTAAAAAGTTGTATCATTGCAGAGGTTTTTTTTAAGTATTGTCTACTCTCGCATTGGAGATGACATAATGGCATTGCAGGGGTATCAACAGATATGCCTCAAATCATAAAATTACTTGTAGTGAAACATGACAGTCTTTTCAGTGCATTTGATGCATGTACAATACAATACAATACAAAGACTTTATTTAAACACGATAATTGTTAAAGCGACTACACGCTTGTGGGGTCGTGCGTAAAATGGAATAAAATGAAATGTAGTAAAATACAATAATTAAAGTAGCCTATCAAAATTAGAAGATCTAAAAATATTTAAAATTGGGGTCCTTAAAATTCACTGTCTGTGGAGAAATGGAATTAAAGTTCAAATTTAAAAGTGCCTTTGATTTGTAGGCTAACGAGGAGAGCTGCTTAATGGTTATATTTCTTAAATTTGATTCTTGGAGAAGTGTGTTAAAAACGATAGGTCCTCTTCTGGAGGATGTGTGATGTCTATTGGTAAATCTTGGGTGATGATGATTGTCAATTGCAACATGAACTCAGTGATACTATTTATATGAAGCCAAGTCATGCACTTGTATAAATTTGTCTGACATTGGAAGACCAATTATGTTGTGGTTTGAACCTGATGGAAATTTGCAATAGTGTATCATTCCAAAACAGCCATTCCTCTTTCAAAAATCATTGTCCTGGTTTATCCCTAACCTGGTGACATGGTCAGCGTGAAAGAAGACCAAGATGAAATATGGCATGCAGTGGTTTTCATCTTCATTAAAAGATGGTGAAAGGATATTTCTTTGTCAAGCATTTACACTAGGAGAGAAATCAATTGTGGGCTAGGGAATTAAGTTTACAAGCTGTGGACATTATCAGCAACAAAAACATAGTTGATATTTTGTCAGGAATGTGGTTTGGTGCAAACTTGCAAGAACAAATCTGACAGTGTCATGGCATTTGTAAGTTTTGTAAGGTTTTTGGCTAGCAGTAAATTGATGGCTGATATTAGTTGATATCAGCTGTAGATGTGCTATCCTCCCTTCCTGAGGTAATTACCAACTCACTTGTATGTGATGTCTTTTTTTCATTTTTAAGTGCCAAAATTGTTCCCTTATGGGACTCTCTAGCAAGATCAATTGTTCTAAAACAAAAACAACAACTGGATGTATTTTCAAAGTAAGGGTTTCCTCATGGAAATGCCGTATTCACTACTTAACTTTTAACTTGGAGCATGTAAGTCAGTATTGAGCAATCAAAAACTCCTTATCTAAGTTCATTTTAGTGATGCAAATTTTTCCAGAAAGCTGTTAATGCATGTTTCCATGTTTGTTTTGAATATGGAAAACTAAAGTGGAATGTTTTGTTCAGCAATTTTCCATACCATAACCTTGTTTGGTAACTGGTTGGATTTACATTTTTATTTTACATACATGATGTATAAGTAATTTTTTTTTCATGGATGTATATTTGGATAACAAAATGCCTGGAGGAAATTGTAATTTACAAGTTAAGATTGGAAATTAAAATTGAAATACTGTATTTATTCTATTAAACGCCGCAAGGCTTATTAAATTTTTCGTGATGCGAGTGCAGTGTTCCAAGGCGGCATCTATACGAGGGTGGTGTTTATTTAAAATCCAATGATTGGATAATAAATTATTTATTTCTTGCAAACTATAGTGTGGTAACTGACCATTTTAATTTGTCTAAAAAAAAAAAAAACAACCAACATGGTGTAGTGCTTGTCAAAAAAGTCATCTCTTTTATTGTTCTCAATTTCACAATTTTCAAGTTAATATTACTGCAATACATAGAGTGAATAAAGATCTAATGTCAGATTTGCTTCTCAACATCAGAACTGGTATATTCAAAAGGATTTGTGTCTGGTTCACTCAAAATTTATGACTGCGATCCAAGCATTGATTGGTATGTGCTCTTTTAGTCTCTTATTTTATTACTGCTACATTACTTCTTTCAACAATTTTCCACACCATAATCAAAAAGGGAAATTGTATGGTGCAGATCATCTTTTTGACATGCAAAGGAATTGTGTGGAAATTGGCTATAGCTTTTAAGGAAAACAAAAACACACTTAGAAAACAAGAATTTCTTTAAGGGAATGCAATTTCCAGGCTGGAACTGGGAAATAAGATTTCCATGTTTGTTTTAAACATGGCCAACAATATTGGAGTATTTTTGCAAAACATTTTCCATATAATTACCAGACTTGGAAACTGGATGAAGTTAGATTTTATATCTGACATGCAAAATGCACATATGGAAATTGGGTATTTTTCCAGGGAACTTTGCAGATCTGAACTCTTTTAATTAATTCATATGTAAATCATTTGGACTACAATAACACAAAGGAACACATTAACTATATTTCTGCAGACTGTCTATGTGGGAAGAGAGATCCTTACAGTATACAGCTAACAGGCATTATCACTCATTAGAACCTTATAACATAACTTGTTTAGCTGCTTTACATTGCTCCCAGAGAGTTGAAAGTTGTAATGCATGTGACATAAATTGGTAGATACATACATACATACATACATACATACTTTCAGTACCAGAAAACAAATATTGTGTAAAAACTACTATAGACAATTAAAAAAATTATATTTATAACTCTTAGAAAAGGCAACTTTTGAGACTAATTTCATAATTGATATACATATAATTATAATTCTTAAAACTACTAAAGACTCTAATCTCAATGTTATTGTAATTACAGTTAAAGCTTGTCTAAGAGATGGGCTTGGAGTTGCCTTTTAAAGCTTTTTATACTCTTACAGCTCCTCAAATCCTTTGTTAAGGAGTTCCATTCAGGTTCATAGGGGTCCTGAAAACCCTGGAAAGTCTTGGAATTTTATTTTGACATTCTCCAGGACTGGAAAGTTTTGGAAATCGGCTTACATATGACTCAAGCAGTAAATCAACATAGTAAGAATTGTACGTAGATTGTAAGGAGAAATGATTTCACAACTCTTTACTTGTTTTTGATAGAATAATTAATTTAAGTGTAGTAGTTTGTTTTGAATGGAAATAATTAAGTGTCTAAGTTTGTTTTGGATAGGAATGATTAAGTGTCCTGGTTTGTTTTGGATGTAAATAATCAGATGTCTTGGTTTGTTTTGAATGAAAATAAGCAAGTGTCTTGGTTTGTTTTGGATGAAAATAATTGTGTGTCTTGGTTTGTTTTGGATGGAAATTTGTGTCAGTTTCAAAGTGACACCTTGTCATTCCAAAACTCATATTCATACCAAAGTCTATCTTTGAGGAAAATATCTTATGGATTGTATGCAGGCACAATAATTTTAAATTTTAACATGGTATCTCATGAAAAGAGATGTTGCAGGTGAAGTCTGCACCTGGCTTTGTGCTTGCTGATGCTGCCCTCTGGTGCCTGTACTCTCTTCTCCCTTTTCACTGTATCTCTCTCCTCCTTTCACTTCTCTGAATGCCTGCTTTGACAGTTTGTCTCCAGCAACTGCAATCTGCAGGGACCACTTCCTAGTGTTGGTATACCTGCATCAAGAGTCTCCGATATCGAAACGCGCGCAATGCATTCTGGGATCGTCTCATATAAAAAGTGGGCACCAAGCGTGACAGCGGCCATCTTGATAACTAAAGCATCGTCAACATTTATACACTTTTACCTCGCGATTTTACAATTTTTTCCAGTTTAAATTAGATCATAGTTTGTATATAGTTTTAATAATAGTTTGTATATAGTTTTCACTAGTTTGTATATAGTTTTCATATAGTTTTCTCGTCGTTTTTGGCGTGGAAATGAGCGAGACAAGTGAGCTTTCCCTCGAGGAAGTCAACACATGGAAGGTGGACGCTCTCAAGTTATTTTGCCGTAAACGAAATCTTAAAACTTCTGGAGCTAAAGCTGAACTTGTAGCCCGTGTGTTTGCAGCATCAGAGATGGGAATCCAAGTACAAGCATCGGCTAAAGAACTAATGTGCATCACGGAGTCTGAGAGAGCGAAGCTATTGTTTACTCCTGAGGGCAGCAAGCTTCCCGATCCTCTTGGGCTAAAGGACGGATGGATTGATGAAAAAGATGGGCTAACATCATGGCCTCCTATATTTCTAAGTGACATTACGAAATATCTGATGGCTGATCATCCTGGAAAGGATATTAAACTGCACGAACGGGTCATGAATGAGTACAAAGAGGGGAAAGCATACCGCTTATTTGACTCGGGCTTTCTGAAAGAAGTTTTCTACCATGAACTAGAAAATATGGATTTTTGCTTCTTGAAAGCAAAATGTACGCATTCGATGAAGGTTGGTGATACACCACATACATCATGGATTTGTTCAAGAAAAAATGGAGAGATTATCAGTGCCTACTGTACCTGTACTGCTGGGTATGTTAGACTTTCTGTTTTATAAGACTTTAACTTGTAACTGATGCAAAATATAAGCCTAAAATATCATGTTTATCATATACCTCGATTTTATGACTAATGTTGTTGGTCTAAGCTCAATATATATTATACTTTAGAATGTTTAAAATATTATGTCTATCATATACCCTAACTATTTGTTATTTCTTGTTTCAGTATGAGTGGTTCTTGTATTCATGTGATGGCACTGCTGTTCAGAATTGAAGCAGCAAACCGTAATGGTATGACAAATCCTGCATGTACGTCCAAAGAGTGTGTGTGGAATGTTCCAATAGGAAACAAGACTGTAATCAAGCCCTCTAGAATTTGTGATATGGAGTGGAAGGCTTCAAAGCTAAATAAAGGTATGTTATTATGTTTAAAATTCTAAACAAAGTATTTACAGTATGTATACTGGATAGACATAAGTGTTATCTGGGGACATAAATAAGAAAGTTCTTATTAGCTTGTAACCTAGCAATTAATTTACTTTTATTTTGTGTTTTTCTAGAGACGACCAGACCTGCCATCGATAGTCGCCGAAAGTTATTCAATTCACATGAAGAGTTGAAGCCCCTGACTCCAAAAAGGAAAGAGGAAGTCGTTTTATAATAATTTGAAGGACTTGTTGCCAGAATCGGCATTCATCAAATTAGCAACGGCTGAGTTTGAGGAACCGTGTTCAACTTCCGTTACAATAGAAATTAATACTGAAGTACCTGAATGTGTAATGCCTAAGTCATCAAAGAAAGACTTAAGTGCTGATGATATACATCTGATTGAACAAGGCACCATTGGTCAGTCTGAGAATGAGGCATGGCACGATTACAGAAAAAAGGCCGATTAACTGCCTCTAATTTCTATAGAGTGTACACAAAAGTTGAAACCCTTAAAACTAAGGGGGTGATGCACAGGAACTAGTGGACACAATCCAGGGTAAAAGTAATGGACCGTCGGAACATTTACCTGCTCTAAAATATGGAAGAAACATGGAGAAAGTTGCTAAGGATAAGTATGTGAAACTGTTTCAGAGGGAGCACAAAGATGCAAAATTCAGAGAGTGTGGACTATTTATTGATGAATCTGACCAATTCATTGGAGCATCCCCTGATCTGCTTGTTGAATGTTCCTGTTGTGGATTAGGGGTGCTAGAAGTGAAGTGCCCTTATTCTATTGTTAATGATTTACCATCAGAAGACAATCTTTCCTACCTGGTAAAGATTAATGGCAAAATTGTCTTGAAAGAGAAGCATGCATATTTTGCACAGATACAGGGACAAATGGCTGTGACAAAGAGAACATGGTGTCACTTCCTGGTCTACACCCAAAAGGGTTATCATCTGGAGCTAATCAAGTTCAATAATGATTACTGGGAAAAGATAAAGCAAAACCTAATTTGGTTTTATAATAAGTATTTAAGTGAATGAATGCTCGTTAATTATAACTTGATACAAAACTTTATTTACATGGTGTAAACACTAAAAATACATTTGTACATTTTATATACAATTTAGAATTTTTACAATTTCATATCTGGAAAAACTGGTCTGACAGTTCTAAATTGAACTCAAATAGTCTCTGAATAGAACAGTAAAATTGTCTGTTGTGGAAACTGGAATGGATGAATCAAATCATGAAATTTTATACAAGTAATGCATTGACCACACTTCAGTATGATTGAAAATGTTACAGTTTGATATTGTTTGCAGTTATATATATAGTAATAATAAATAATATATTATTTATTTGTGTTCAGCGACACATGAGCTGTGAAATGAAGAAAAATATTTACAAATTATATCTAATGATTGTAATCACTCTACCAGAATAATTTTTCTCTTGTGAGGTCCTTGTGGTGCAAATAATATAACAGTTCTTATTCAGAGTGCACATACTTAATAGCTGAAGCATTAAATGGTACTAAATCATACTATTACTTAATTTTTCTTGTTATGTACCATTATCAACACTATTTAGTATTATTTGGTACCATTTGTATGAAAGATTAAGTGATTGCACTCTATACTAGTTGCTAGTAAAGTAGAGCAGAGATTTTGAATAACATTTAACCTAAGAAAGAACTTAGACTAATACATATTGGTATCCTCTAAATTTATGAAGTTTATATTCTTTCATGGGTTAAATGCTGTCAATCTTTTTAGCTATTTGTACATTTCTTGTTAATCATTTTTTTTACCCAAGGGTCTATACAAGTTACATAAGGCTGCACAAATAAGTACAATGTTGTCTATACTGCCAAGCAGTGATATTGGTAGTTCATGCTTTATCAGTCTAAACGTCTTCAACCGTCTTATTGCTTGCTCAACAAAGATTCTAAGATTTGCAATTTCTTTTGTTTTAGCAACTTCAGCTTTAGTGAACTGCTCTTGTCCACGTTTACCAGGGGGATGTGTAGTCTTGAGCTTCTGATTAAGAGGTCTTCAGCAATTGTGAATCCACGGTCTGCCATCACTTCATCGCCAGGTTCAATGATATCATAAAATGATGATTCTCTTGTCAGATGCACATCTGAAGTTCTCCCTCCCATGCTTTGGATAAGAAATTGAAAAAACCATGTGGTGTTATTGATACCAACAGCTTAGCAGTGTTGTGATGCTTGTAGTCTGACCACGTAGCTGCTCTAAGGTTTGGGTCGCTTGGGGTTTCAATAAATATTTCTGTGCAATCAATGATGTGGCGTACATTAGAGTAGCCTGGCTTTTTAAACTTTATGGGCAAAGTTGCTTTCTACAAACATCGATGGAGGGATTGTAAACCAAACATTTAAGTTCACTTGCTAGGATTTTCACCCAGGTAGTAACAACATTTGTTACATTTGTAGTTGAAATTCCAAACCTCTGTGCTAAGTCAGCATTTGTTGATCCAAGTCGAAGTTTCATTAAGGTCAAAAGAAACTCATCTTTTTCTGACAAAGCTCTTTTAGGGCCAAACTTATTTGGTGTTTTTTTTGAAGTTTCTTCCTTTTTTTTTAGTAGATTTTTTTTGGGCCACTCCAGTAGTTTTTACTTTTTAATGTTTCCCTTCACTACTTCAAACAACTTATTGAATACTCGTTTTGATGGTAGGCCGGTTAGTAGACGAACAGATGAATTTGTTTTCAAATCAGAATGTTCTAGTCCCTTACGCTGTCTGGCCTTGAGTTTTATCTTACATGCTTTGAGTTCACTTTCAAGTTCTTGGAGTTTTTCTTTGAGATCTTTGATCTCATTGAACTGCTTGAGTCTTTCCTGCAAGCATTTTTCTTTCATACAGAAGTCAGGATCTTCTAGGTTGTACCAGCCAAACGAATATGCATGATCGTGAGTGATATGGTCGGGTCGACCGGCAGTAGTACAATGTTCTTCTTCTGTTATAAACGAGGAACTACTTGGTTCTTGAATCACAGGAGCATCTTGACTATCATGTGCATTATCTTGAGTATCATCTTGAATATTATCTTGTGTGTTATCTTGAGTATTATCTTGAGTTCTTAAACGTTTCATTTCTTCTAGTAATGATGATCTATCAGTAGGCGGTTTACGGTTACGAGTAGACTTTGTCTCGTAGCCCATTTTGAGTACAGGATCAGGGTTTTCTTTCGTGGGTTTCCCATCAACAAAGTGCTCATTGCAGACTCTCGACGAATTATTAGGTTGCCAGACTTCTCCTTTCGGGCCTTTTCTCTTTAGAAGATGGATCCAGCGCTTTCTACCCTCATTGTTTTTGCGTTCAGTAGGGAACGGAAATAGCTTGAACGGCAGCGGACAGTCACATGGCGGAGTGCCGTGTAAACAATCGTGAACTTCGCATTGCTGTGAAGCCCATTTCTCAAGCTTTTTCCCACTGTTATGGCACCCAAATACTGCACAATTTCTGTGCCCAAAGACCATGTCATTAAACGGCTGCAAAGTAATAAAAATACGATGAGAATCTTTGACTTTTGACAGTTCTTGTATTCGCGAATGTCACTCGCGCGCAGGATTGAATCTACTACCATTAAAAGCTTAAAACAGCTAAAACAAAGTTAAAATTTGTAACTTACCTTTTGAATATAATACCCACGAAGATTATTTTCCAGTTGATATCACTTACAAGAACAAAAAGACTGTATTATAGATAAAGACACGCTTCAAAGAACGCATTGAATACAGAGACACACGCCATATTGTCACGCTTGGTGCCCACTTTTTTTGTGAGACTATCCCAGAATGCATTGCGCGCGAATTACCTTCCGGAACTCTTGATGCAGGTATTTGTTGTCTAAGTATGAAAATGATAAATACGTCTTTGTATCCATCCATCTCATAAGCACTAATGTACTTGGGCAGGGACTTGCCAATAGCTGCCAGTCTTGTGGAGAACACAATGAAATTTATTGTCCAAACAATTGTAATCAAACTGCCTCTTTCCATTCTTAGTCCAATATCCATAGTGCATTAATAATAATAATAATAATAATAATAATAGTATGTTTAATATCAACATTTATGCATATACATAAATTACAATTTGTTGTTCTGTTAGATTTTAAAACTGGAAATAAATGTATAGTTAAAGTTATTTTCATTAAACTATGTAATATATAATTGGAAAAAAAAACTAAGATGTAATCTTTTAGTTCTATGATTTGGTATTGTATGGTTCTTTGATTGGTGTCCAGACACCCTTGTCTTGTTGAGATGTTTGGAGAGTGGGTCCCCCATTTGGTATCTTTCAGAGTGTATCCAGACAAAGTTCACTTTGTCTTTCATCTAATCTGGGTAGTTTTAGATATTAGAGAGCTTCTCTGTATGAAAGTGCAGGTACAATGATCTTGAAGGTGCATTTCTGCATACATTTTACCTCTTCAGAGTGGTAAGACTTTGAGGTGTGGTGGCATGCTACACAAAAATATTAAGGTTTGACTTGGAGCTGTTGTGTCATAGTCCAGCGTCACTTTCTTAAACTCCTTCAGGTTGTCTATTCTCATTTGTAGGTCATCTGCTATTTCATTCCAAGTTTTTGTGGCTCTCACAATAAATGAGTGTTGATATGTTGATGCCTTACCTTTTGGTGTCCACTACTTAGTAATGTTCCTTTTGATTGTGAGGAAGGAACGGAACCTGTTAAGGTATCCTCCAAGACCACAGAGCCTATGGATGAGCACTTCATGGATAACTCAGGGCAGGAAACTTTCTTTTCAAGTCACTTGTCCTTTTGGACAAGTGTAGTGTGTATTTTACTTTTCCAGACCACAAAACTACTTTTCCAAAGAATTTGGCAACAGCAATTCAGGGTTTAAAAAATTATTTTATTTCAACCATGCCCCAGTTGAGTGAAAAGCCAAATAGTCAATGAAAACCTGGTGTGGGGAATAGGTTAAGAAGGCCCACAACGTCCTCAGTCTTCACTTTTAGGTTTTTTAATCACAGTTTTTCCTTTTCTCCTACAAAAATAATCCACCTCTCACTGGCATCAATCAAGCGAACCCTAATCTATGGCACACCTTGAATAAACATGAACTGATTGGCTAAAACGATATTGCTGACAGAAAACTAACTACTACTAACTAACGTACTCTATTTCACAATAACACGTGGAATAACGTGATCTTTGCCATTCAGATAAAAATAAACGCCTTCAAAGATTGGCAGTTCGTGACAAAATAAACATTAAAAGCCCTATGCTATTACCGAGTTTCCGACACTATAATGCAACAAATTGAATAAAAGTGTATTCTTTTGATGCATCTGTCAGTGTATGTCAATGTGTCAGCTATCTTTGGTTAATTTAATAAGTCGATGAAATTGAATTATCTAACACTCTTGTTATTTGAGAGATGCCTTACTTGTGGGCACTCAAGGGATTACATCACTAGTGGTTTACTCAAATGGAAAAATTGTGGTGGGTTGCTAGATTGGATTTCAAAGACTGCATCTTTCTTAGCCTTGATAGTATCCTCAAAGATTCATAGAGTTCCATGCTTCTCTGCAGCTGTTCCTACAACAACAAAAATGTCAACATCGCAAGAATGAGTCAAAGTGAGTCCCTTGGGCTGATCACGATACAAATTGTGGCAAGGCATTTGGCAAAGTGCAACTCTGCAGACTGCACTCAAAGCATGTTTCCACTTTGTAACCTTTGCTGCATTGGACACTCTTTCTCTTCCTTCCACATGAACGGAAACATGGGCTTCTCTGGCAATAGAATATTGTTCAGGCTCTTGGGAACTTTGTTTTCTTTGCCTTTGAGGAAAAACCATTGATCAGTTGCTTTGTGAGATCAAGCCTAAAATTAATCTTTGCTTGCTTTCTCTGACCAAGAGTTGCGCCATGAAATTACTTCAGAACAAACGTGTTAAAAATGGCTATGTTCAAAAAAAAAAAAAAATTAAATGTAGTGGTACCACCTGCGATAAGAGTAACCTGTGAAATAAAAAGAATGAAGTTGATTGGCTCGGTCAATGCCCCTCGTGTGAGAGGTGCAAACATCTGCCACACGAGGCTTCTCAATATCAAAATTACACCAGAGCTCATCATTTGTGCTAGTACAAGAAATTGTCGAAATAAACATCTGTTTTTATCAAGAAATGGTCTTGCCCTTTTCATAACTACATGGTAGCCAAGGCTATGTAGATGAGCTTGATAACCTTCTTGGCTGAGGCGAAAAGCATGGCCACAGACATAGCAGTTTTGGGAATCAGTGGCCATCCAAACTTTTATTTCATATTTTGCTGGCTTCCTGGGCATATACTGATGGAATGACAGCCATCCTTTAAAAGCAATCATTGCCTCATCCAGGGATAGATTATCCACAATGATGGAAAGGATCTTATAAATCTTGAAGAGCTTATCATAATTTGCATTGCCGCATGCTTGCTCCGTGGAGTCTATAAAGCAAAGATACTGAAGTTCTTCAAAACGGGCTTTTGTCATCACGTTCTGAATGTCTGTATAACCATTGAATGGGTTGGTTGATTAGCTCATGGCAATTTGCCGAAGGTTGTTTATACCCATTATAATGCATATACCTCAGTAAGCCTTCAGTTCTTTTGCTTTTTTTTTTCTGGTTGCTTTTGCCGAGCAGATTGATTTGTCTTTGTCATGACTGTATCAATAACTGAGTCTCCAAAGAGTTGATTAGAGTTGTTATCAGAAACGTTAAATTTTATGCCTTGTTGACAGCTAAACTCTTCAAGATCAAAATCCTTGAGTTCATCTGATCACTTGATAGTGTCACTCGCATGTGAGTGGTGTTTGCTTTTGCTTTCATTTTCATCTTCTTCATCACTATTTACTTCCTAAACATCAATATGAGACCCATCAAAATCTGCTGCTCTATTTTCTTCAATGGAACTACCATAAATATCATGAAATTCCTCAGCGCTTACAATTAGACATTTCTCTCTCAAGCCAAAGCTGTGATCAAAGTTTGACTGCTCCCCACCATACACAGTTTCACAAATCTTGTGTGCAGTTAAGTGAATTTGATTGGTCAATGTCTCTTGTAACAAAAGCAGGGTTCGAATTTAGCTTTTTTCTAAGGGAGCCAACTGGCGACTAACCTAAAAATTTTGGTCGCCAAATGGAAGGGTTTGATTACTTAGTTAACTAGCTAATGTAAAAGTGGCATGTTACAGTCAATTGGTATCCCAATTGGTATCCCCGTTGGGATACAGAGTTCCACGGATCTGCTTCACTTCAGTGAAGACCTCTGGAAATGTGGCCTCCTCAGCCCTTCGCCTGCATCCCTGTTCCTTTCCAACCATTTATTGACGCTAGGTGTGGGGTCAAATTCGGCTGCTGGAGGCCCCTCTGCTGAAATGCGAATCAAATCTTCCAACGTAGACACGGCGAGGTTAACTTGCTGAAGCCGCTGAAACAATATGGCACCGGGTAAATATGATGATCGTAAGATCGTCGCTTTGTTTTACTACAATTGTCCTTGGCAGCTTTATGTTTTCTTTTAAAAAAAGCCCATTTACCTTGGAATTTCAAATGAAGAGGGGAAAAAAGGTTAGTCGCCTGCTGGCGACCAGTTCTAAATTTCTGGTCACCAACGCTCAAATTTTTGGTCGCATTGGCGACCAGTCAGCCGCAATGTCGGACCCTGAAAAGGAGAACAGTGTAGGGCAATAAAACTATCTCTGGGGCAGGGATGGATGAGCAAAAATAATAAAAGCGATTTCCGGTTGGCTGCTTTTGGCTGCTGCAGTAGATAATCCTGTTCACCTCCCAGAAATTCACAGAAACCGCAATGAACCATCAGTTCTGGGCACTATGCTGGGACAACCGGACTGGCTCATGTCTTTGAGGTTTACTCAAACAAAGCTTTTCAGTGAAAAATACAATATGTTAATACAAGAAAGTAAAATGAAATATGTGCACACTATGATATAACAAATGTTAAATGTTTAATGCTTAAAACTATATTACAAGTAGCCTAAAACATTTTTATTTTTCCCATTAAGTTTGCAGGACCTTTACACAGTTTTAATCCTAGCTGCGTGCATTCCATAAGTTTACTGTCTCATAATAAAATGAACTCTGGCTAGTAGGAGGTTTCAGTGTAGGAGTTCTCAGTTGTTGTTCCTTTCTTAACATTGGTTCAGACATCCGTCCTCTCATGACTGTGATGTCAGGTTAATCAAGGGGAAGCCCATCATGCACTTAATGGCAAAGATTGTGTCCCAGAGATAAAGCAGCTAGTAATTAGGGCTGACATACTGTGACCAATGTCAGAGCAGTATTTGAACCAAGGAAGAAGAGTTATTACTGAATATGGTCAACAAGATGGCGATTTTATTTGTAGCAATTTTGGGTTGTCATCAGGGTGTTATGCAGAGAGTCATAAATGGAAAGATAATTTGTATATTGATCTTTTACAATGTTCAAATAATAGACACATGAAA